TTTTATAATTTTTTATACAAATTAATAATAAAAAATACAATAAATATATCTTTAATATATATCCTTATAAGGCAAATTCGGAAAATCCTTTACAATTTAACTTTTTTTAAGAAAAAATAACAATTAATTATACTAAATAATTACTCCTTAATTATGTTCTACCCTTTAGGCACAATTACATGAGAAAGAAATATAAGCTACTATAAATTATAATTAGATTCCCAAGTAAAAAAATTAAATATAAAATAACATATTATATAAATTTTCAATGCGATCGTCACATTATAACTGCCGCTATATCATTTTAACTAAATTTTCAATGCCTCTCGAAAACTAGCATACCCGTCCCAATGACAGTAGGCCCCATTCTTCCTTGGCCAATACGACTTACCTATAGGGATTTGCTTCACTTCAACACCGTCACAAAATCACAGCATTAGATAACTAATAGTCACAAATTTACAATTCAATATTTAATATAGCATAAAAAGAAAATGGGTTTATATTTTTGTATTCTTAAGATATAAATTAAGGGTATGATAAATATATTTTTAATAAATAATTTACATAAAAATTATAAAAATTAATATTTATTTTAATAATTAATTAATTTAAAATTATTATTTATTTATTTTATATAAATTTTTTTTAAACAATTTGTAATTATTTATAAGGTTAATTGAAAATGAAAAAAAGGAGTTCTGTGAGTCACATGCAATCCATGGAAGTGAACAATTCTAACCAGAGTCCAATACCATTGGGTCGGAGCGGGCCATTCATTTATTTTATATAAATTAATTATTAAAAAACACATTAATTGTATTTAGTAACTTATACCTAAGGATACGTGTTAGAAAATTCTAACGAGAAAATCACAGCCTCAGATTTTCTCGAAACCATGGTGGCGGCGATTGCAGTCCACCATCACCTACTTACCATACCTATATCTATCTTTAATCACGGCCATCAAAACAGTTTAAAACTCATCCAACGGGTCAGATCTTTACATGTGGTTTAACCTGGATAGCAGACGATTACAAAACACCATTCAATTAGACTGTAGTAGCGATACCCCTAACTTAATCTAATGTTTTTGAATTCTACCGCTACGAAACATCTCAACAGGAGAGAACCCATGAGAAAATAATTAGCCATGTTCTACCGGCTCGCCGTAGTGCTGTTTCTCCTGGTGAACTCAGTCGTCGG